CCTCTCCAGTGTCATGTTATTAAGGAATTAAATATAATTTGCATTATTTGGTGGCCCTCCATGGTACCAATTTTCTATGGTATCCTTAGGCTTAAGGACCTTGAGATTCCTGGATATGCATTTGATAAAACAGTCATTATTATTACTACAATCCAATTATAAAGAAATATATAGAGGATTGTAATGATTCCTTTCTCCTGGTTCAACTGCTCCTTTGCAGGAGGCGCTTATGAACCCAGGTCCTAGAAGCTAGGCAAATATAATTTGATAATTTGCACAGTCAGGCATGAAGAGAAGCCAAATTATTTTCCATGTATCACAAAATTTGGTGAATACAGAATCACAAGATATGTCCTTTTGACTAGGGCAACTTGCACATAACTATGCCTCTCACTTGGTTGTTCTACTCCAATGAGGTTCTGCTCTCATGAGGTTTCAAATATCCGGTTAAAACATTTGTCTGAATCACCTAGACTTAGCTGGCAGCCGGTTGCTTTGGTTGGATGCTAGCCAACTCATCAGAAGCTGCATCTAATTACAGTACAGTTCTGGAAGGGAAAATCTGCAAGCCAATTAGTACAATAATATAATATTATTGGAGAGTGGTGGTTTTTCTCCCAAATCTGTAATTAGGAAGCTGGGGATTCTAATACTTTGTGACCACGAAAAACCTCGACAGGACCTACATGTGTATCCATTTGACAGCTCATTTTGGATTAGTGAAACCAGTGTGAGAGAGCACTCAAAATGATTTGAAACATCAATTGTTAGTTTGGACATTTAAAAGAGCACAGTGTTACTAATTCTCTACCTTTATACTTGGACAGTAATTTCAGTTAACTGCAGAAGATACCCCAGGGATTAGGTTGTGAAGAAAGAACTCTTTTCTTATTTATTTATGAAACATATGTTATATTATGTCTCTCATCATATTTAAAAAAACCAAACCACACCATGCCATAACTGATCCAGTACTTTTAAATGCCATTGATTATGATAGGAGGTTGATTTTGGAGTCTGTGATATGAACAAGAAATTTCTCACACATTATTAAACAAACTGTATGGTGCAAAAGATGAGCTTACAGAGTTACAAACTACAAGGAGAAAGCAGATTAAGCAGATTTCCTTTTTAAAATGGGAAGCTTCCAAATGTCATAAGGATTTCATTTCAAAAATTGCTTTTACTAAATTCACTTTAACTTTGTTTGAGTATTCCTTCCAGGTCCAGTGGGAAATATTCAATATTTTTTTCACTGCAAAACCGATTTATTATGTGAATAACAGAAACAAGTATGAGCAGTATTCACTTATTTATCATAAAACCATGATTAGCGTAATATACTCTCCATTTTAAATAAGGTGATATATAGTGGGTTAGAGATAACTAGCTTTTTTGCTAGTGAAAACGGGAGAAAGTTGGCTTTGGGTTATAGGAATTGTGTAGACCAAAAGCTTGTGGGATACGGAATGTAGTAAAGAAGAGAATTAGGAGAAACTGTGCAAAAAAGCTGGCCAGATTCAAATCACTGTCTGGTGCTTGAAGTGTACTGTACCTATTTTCAATGCCCATTTGCTTTTAGTTTGTTTACAACTCTCAGAACTTTATAACACTATTGCCAAAGATACGTGTTGAAATAGCATTCAAAGTCTCTGCCACAAAACATGATGTTTAAACTATACATTTCAGAAATACTTACACAATTCCTGGATGTAGAAGTTTGGCAAGGTAGACTATAACTCACATCTTATGCCCTAACTGAATATATACTTGAGATGTTTCCATGTTTAGTTTAGTTTAGATGCTTAATATCAGCCATTGGAAAACAGCAGTGTGACTTGGTCACAGGAAATAGCTGTTTTTAGCCCTTTCTCCCACATTATTTTTCCATCCTGAATCAGCCATCGTAAAGCTATTTGTCTTCAGGGGAAAATGTACAGGCATCTCCCATGAGGCAAACAACAACTCCAGGGTAGGAGGAATGAGTCTCAGAAAATGATGCAGGGAAAATGGTTGAACCCTACCCACAGTGGTTTGATTATGCCTATGTGAGCTATTAAGCCAGAGCCACCTTAAAGACTTGCGGTGCAATTGTATGCAGTGTTACTGCAGTCTAACCCCAATTGCATTCCATAGGCTTGCAGTGATTATATAGAAATATAAACACGCAGAGCTGGAAGGGATCCCAAGGGTCATCTAGTCCTACCCCCTGCACAATGCAGGAAATTCACAGCTACCTCCCCCATTCCCCCAGTGACCACTGCTCTATGCCCAGAGGAAGGTGAAAACTTCTAGGATCCCCGGGTCAGTTTGGACTGGAGGAAAATTTCTTCCGGATCCCAAATTGCCAATTAGCATCACCTGGGCATTTAAGAAAGGGCCACAAAAGCCAAGCAGTGACTCATCGTTTGCTACCTTCCCTCTCACCATCTCCCTAAATTCATAGTGAGTCATAGAATCAGCACTGCTGTCAGATCTAGCCTCTGCTTAAAAACCTCCAAAGAAGGAGACCCCATCACCTCCTGAGGAAGTCTACTCCACTGAGGAACTGCTCAAACAGTCAGGAAGTTCTTCCTAATGTTTAGACCAAAACTGATTTAATTTCAACCCGTTGGTTCTGGTCCAACCTTTTGGGACAACAAAAAACAAATCTGCTTCGTCCTCTATATGACAGCCCTTCAAATACCTGAAAATGGCTATCATACCACCTCTTGTTTCCTCTCCACGCTAAACATATCCAGTTCCTTAAACCTTTCCTCATAGAACTTGGTCTCCAGACCGCTTACCATCTTTGTCACCCTTCTCTTGACATGTTTCACCTTATCAACATACTTCTTAAATTGTGGTGCCCAAAACGAAACACAGTACTCCAACTGAGGTCTAACCAGACCAGAGAAAAAGTGATGTCATCACTTCACATGACCTGGACACTATACTTCTGTTGCTGAAGCCCAAAATCAGATTTGCCTGTTTAGCTACCACATCACACTGCTGACTCATGTTCATTCTATGATAAGACCCCTAGATCCTTTTCGCATGTACTACCACCAAGAATCTCAATGGGGATAAATGTAAAGTTCTGCATTTAGGTAAGAAAAATCAAATGCATAATTATAGGATGGGGGAGATTTGTCTTGGCAGTAATATGTGCGAAAAGGATCTAGGGGTCTTAGTAGACCATACACTGAACATGAGTAAGCAGTGTGATGCAACTTCTAAAAAGGCAAATGTGATTTTGGGCTGTATCAACAGAAGTATAGTGTCCAGATCATGCAAAGTGATGGTACCACTTTACTCTGCTCTGCTTAGACATCACCTGGAGTATTGCGTTCAGTTTTGGGCACCACAATTTAAGAAGGATATAGACAAGCTGGAATGTGTCCAGAGGAGGCAACGAAGATGGTGAGGGTCTGGAGACCAGGTCATATGAGGAAAGGTTGAAGGAGCTGGGTATGTTTAGCCTGGAGAGGAGACGACTGAGAGGTGATATGATCACCATCTTCAAGTACTTGAAGGGCTGTCATATAGAGGATGGTACGAAGTTGTTTACTGTTGCCTCAGAAGGTCAGACCAGGACCAATGGGTTGAAATTAAATCAGAAGAGTTTTCGGCTAAATATTAGGAAGAACTTCCTGACTGACTGAGTGGTTCCTCAGTGGAACAGGCTTCCTCCGGAGGTGGTGGGCTTCTTTGGAGGTTTTCAGAGACTAGATGGCCATCTGACAGCAATGCAGTAGGCAGATCACAAGAGGGAGGGTAGGAAGGGTTGCCTCAGTGCTTAGTTCTTGTGGCCCTTTCTTACACACCCAGGGAAATGCTGATTGCCAGTTTGGGGTCAGGAAGCAAATTTTCTCCAAGGCAGTTTGGCCAGGGATCCTGGAGGTTATTTGTCATCTTCTGGGCATGGAACAGCAGTCTCAGTGGGTGTGGAGGCAGAGGCATTTGTGAATTTCCTGCATTGTGCAGGGGGTTAGACTAGATGACCCTGGAGGTCCCTTCCAAGTCTATGATTCTATGACCTCTGCGAAATTCATTTTGTTAGTCTTAGCTTTGATTAGCTGATTGCTTTGTTCTTCCAGTGATTTACTTGAATGTGTTCCCGGGGTCACTTAAAGAAGTTACTTTTGACATACAAACCCATTAATGGTCTAGGTCCTGATTATTACAGTGAAAGTCATGATTCTCTACAAACTTTATGAGTGAAGCCCAGATAAGGATGCAATTTTGTGGATATTGTTTGGCACTGACCTGAAGCAGGTCTTTAAAGTGACAAGTAGCATGCTGTGGGATGCCTTTGCCAAGGACATCCGTCTGCTTCCTCTTCTTTATGGGGAAAATCTGTTCTCTTAGGCTTTTAAGGATTAAGGGCTGAAGTTCTGGAGACCGTAATTTAATGTTGTATGATCAGTCTTTGTATCTGGACATAGATTTTTAATAGGTTTAAACCACATTGAATGAAATTGTATAAAGTTCTTCTTTAAAAAAATAAACTAGTTGCACACAAACATACAACCTAGAAATGGAATATTTGGTGTAGTGGTTAGGAGTGTAGACTCTAATCTGGAGAACTGGGTTTGATTCCCCACTCCTCCACATGCAACTGCTGGTGTGACCTTGGGTCAGTTACAAGTCATTTCAGAGCTCTTCTCTCATTAACAATTCTTGAAAGAGCTCTCTCAGCCCCACCTATCTCAAAGGGTGTCTTTTATGGGGACGGGAAGAGAAAGGAAATTGTAAGCTTCTCTGAGACTCCTTCGGGTACTGATGGGCAGGGCATAAACCCAATCTCTTCTTCTTCATCATCTACTGTCAGTCATTCCCTATTTGGGAAACAGTGGAGCTGATAGTGGCAAAGAATTATTTCTTAAAATAATCTCTTACACAATTTGTTATACCTCCACTTTGCCATAGTGGCAAAGTTTATTCCTTGGAAGAATCTTATTTTATTTTATGCATACCTCTATTTTGCCACAGAAATTACTTCAAAGGAGAGAACTTACCATCTGTCATTCCTTCCCTACGATGAGGCAATGGAGGCTGGTCCACTCTGCCTCCCTTGTGTTTTTTGGTAGGCCTCGGCCTTTGACTCTGATTCTGGGCTGCACTGGTGTTGCTGTCAGTAGAAAATGGGCTGGTTGGCCGAGGTCTTTGAGAAGAGGAATATGGTTTGCCTATGGACAAAGGCAAGATGGAGGGAAAAGTTATTGAGCTGATGGAGCAATTCTCCTTCCATACCTGCTTTAACATTCTTCTGCTTAAATATGGGGCACTTTTAAGGAGAAGAGTGTCAAAGAACAAAACCACTTCATAGCAGATCCCAACTAGCAAAGTTATATAACTTTGTGTTGTACTAAACATGTTTCATGCCTGTTTTTTTTGCATGAAAATCTTACTTACTGTATACTTGATTCTTACTACTGTTTTGTATGTTAAACATAACTGTTGTGTTATTTTTATTCTTGGAAGTAGCATTTACTTGCAGTGTCTTTCCTGTGCAGAAAAGAAATAGAATTCTCATACTGTTTTTGCCAGAATTACTGTATGAAGTGTGATTCAGGTGGGTAGCCTTGTTGGTCTGAAGCAACAGAACAAAATTAGAGTCCAGTGACATCTTTAATACCAACAAGGTTTTATTCAAAGTACAAGCTTTTGTGTGCATACAAACGTCTTCAGATACATTGAAATGGAAGTTATGAGTTCATACATATAGGTACAGGGTGAGCAGCAAATTAACATAAGCATAATAAAGGTTGTTTAACTGATGCAAGGACCAAACTGAAATAGCAGGCTTAGTTCATATGGCCACCAGTGTTCCCTCTAAGCTGAGTTAGTGTGAGCTAGCTCACAGTTTTTTAGCCTCCGGCTCACAGTTTTTGTCTTAGCTCAGGAAGAAGGGCTCCAGAGCAGACTAATTTATGCAGCAGCCAAATCGCTCGCTCACAACTTTAATGCCAGCAGTTCACCAAGTAGAATTTTTGCTGACTCCACAGCTTAGAGGGAGCATTGATGGCCACCATTTGTTTGGGTTTAATTCCAGTGGAAAGCATAGTGAAGGAAATAAATATATCAAAATTAGAGATTGATGTGGAAATGTACCCTTCTTAATTGAGGAATGCTGAGAGTAATGAACTGATTTTTATTTATTTATTTATTCATTCATTCAATTTATACCCTCCCCTCCCCGCCAAAGCAGGCTCAGGGGAGACCCTGAGACCCTGTTGTTACGCTCTATCCATCCCCTCTCAAGCATGGAGGAAACTAACAGCATCCTCCTCTCCCTTTTGCAATGCAGGCACTAAAAGCACTGCTTCTGTACCCACCCAGTTTGGTGAGGGAAAAAAAAAGAAAGAGAAATGAGCTCTTTCTACTCACCATTTAGCCCCTTCACTGTGCTATTTTGCTGATGGGGAAGGGTCAGAATCCAAATTCCAGCTCATCCAACAGCTGCAAACTTGTTCCACAGTTGTTTGAGTTGCTCAATACAATCTTAACAGACTCCTGGTAAGTTAGCGGTCTGAATAAGTTTGCTGAGAAATCTGCAGAATTGCAACATCCCTATCAGAAATGCTGACACTGACTGAGTCTCCCTACAGGAAAGGTGGGGAAAGTGTTCCAATTCCTCTGCAGAGTCTTCCAAATTCTATATGGGATTCCTTTATGTACATGTAATTCTATAAATTACATGTATAGAAAGAATGGGGACCAAAGTCAAGATGGACAAGTCTTGAATAAGGAAATATACATGTAATCCTGGGAATTTTTATGGAAAAATGCAATTAAAATTTCAACATGTAATAATCTAAAAGAAAACTGTTATAAGATGATGTATAGATGGTATATGACACCAAAAAAGATAGCGAATATAAGTAACAATTTATCAAACAAATGTTGGAAATGTAAAAAAATAGAAGGCTCTTTTTACCATATGTGGTGGACATGTGATAAAGCAAAAAAATTTTGGACTGAGGTCCATACAGAGATGGAAAAAATAATGAAATGTAAAATTAAGAAGGAACCTGAAGTGTTCCTTTTGGGACTTAAAATGGAGGAAGTTAATATTGCAAAACGGACTTTAATGTGGTATATGATTACATCTGCCAGAATGATATACGCTCAATGTTGGAAGCAAGAAAGAACTCCCGATATCTGGGAATCGTTGAAAAAGTTACTTTTTATGGTTGAGATGGACAAAATGACAAGAAAGCTTAAAAATCAAGAAGCAGAAGTTTTTTTGCAGATTGGAAAGACTTTAAAGACTACTTGGAGAAATACTGGGATGTAAAAAACAATTTATTTTGCTTTGACAATTACTAAGGTTGGATAGACATTTAGATTAAATTTAAACATGCATAGATAGACAGATAAAAAGATACGTTACCTGAAAGAATTATGTTGTTAAAGAATTGGAAAAGGAGAAAAAATTCAAGAATGTAATAGAGGTTTGAACACTGTGGGAAGTCAGAAAGGGGGGAGATATTTGGATAAAAGGATATGAAAAGTTTGTTATATGACGTAAAATTTTACTTATTATTATATCCTAATAAAATTGGTTGTTGTTGTTGTTTTTAAAAAAAAGATGGACAAGTCTTTATTTAATAATAAAAGTGATACCATTTTGCACTTTATAGTTACCATCTTGGAGGGAAGGCAGCAAAGTATAGCGGTGTCAGTACTTGGAAGAGAGACCATCACCAAGGAAGACTGTGCAGAGGAAGACAGTGGCAGACCACTTCTGCCTCTCATTTGCCTTGAAAGCCCCTTCCTGGGGTTGATGTAAGTTGGCTGTGACTTGGTGGCACTTTACACACATGCAGCCACTATCTGATGGCCAGTTTATTTAAAACAGCAACTTCATCAAATGGATCAAGCAATTTTCACATCATTATGTTGGTATCATAATTTTTTTGTTTTGTATGGTAGGTTGCTTGGTAGAGAAATAGTATACAAGGCAGTTACATGAAAGTTATAATGTGCACACAGGTCCAAGTGCAGGCTTGTGCTTTTACAAATATATTTTACTAGGAGTAAGGCACATTATGGGAAGAAATACAATGAGTTCTAGAAGGAAGCTCCAGATGAGTGTCCTGGGGGGGGGGGCGGCAGAGGGAAGGGGAAAATAGAGGGGGGCAAGCCATGTTTATTTCCTTCTGCTTAATGCAGTGGCAGCAGCTAAGGTACAAAAGCACCTCCTCCTATGCCATGTCTTCTGGGTTCCAAGGGTCTGGAAACCAGTTCCATAGCCAGTTACAGGGTTACCAACTCTGAGCTGGGAAATGCCTGTAGATTTGAGGGGTGGAGCCTGGGGAGGCAGGGTTTGGGGTGTGGAGGGACCTCAGCAGGGTATGATTCCATAGAGTCCATTGCCCAAAGCAGCCATTTTCTCCAGGAGAACTGATCTTGAAGATCTCCAGGTGCTTCCTGGAGGCTGGCAATACTGAGGGCCAGACCTGTAGATATGAGGGGTAGAGCCAGGGTTTGGGGTCCAGAGGGACTTCAGCAGGGTATGATGCCATAGAGTCCACTGTCCAAAGCAGCCATTGTAATAGCTGGGAAATTTTCTGCAGGGGAAATGATGTGTTGTGGCTGGGGAACACAGTGATTTCTGGGAGATCTCCAGGCCCCACAGGGAGATTGGCAACTCCAGTGACCGTTTAAGGGAAGCTTGGGATATGTGTTTTGGCAACTCCAGTGACTGTTTAAGGGAAAATTGGGATGTGTATTTTACCTCAGGACACATTCAGTGACTCCCAACAGCAACAACAAATTGTTTAGAATGTTAGAGGCAAAGGCCAATCAGGCCACATATGCAAATAACCTCTGTGTTCTGACTGGCTATTGGGGGGAGAGGAACAGCATACTGTTTAGAATATTGGAGGCAAGACTCAGGCAACGCAGCCAGTGGATAGGGACAGCTTCTGAGTGACAGATCAGGGAGCCAACTGATTTGGGAGCATGTGGAATGTTCAGGAGAGTGCCACTACCAAAACAGAATTATTATATATAGATATTTGTTTAATACAACTTCTGCTATTAATATTTTTTAAAAAATACATGCATTCAGATTATCTTAAATAGTTTTTGTGGGACTTTTTAAGGAAGGGTTGGGGGTTGGGAAGTAGCTGCATTAAATTAAATAGTGCTAATATCTAGTTGAAAAGCAAGATTGGACGTTTTATTTAAGGAAGACATTGTTAGTAATGTATTCAACTTGATTATGCCATTGATACAATTTTAATTACAATCCTGCAGTACAAATATAATAAATGATTGTATGAAGTGCCTTAAAAGGAAATCATTTAATAAAGCTGTTAAACTGTTGCATTGTTAGAGTGATAAACTTTCACCAGCTCACCCCATGCTGGCAGCATCTTCCCAGAAAATACATTTGGCAAAGAGATGCAAGAGAGAAGCAGTAATGAAGATAAAAGCTAAGTATGCAGTTCTTCATAAGAAATATTATTGACTGTGAGAAGGTTTTGCAAATAATATATCATCAAAAATTGCCTGGTAAAATCAGCAGTCTTCTTGAAACAGTAAAAAAAGGCAGCAGATGTCAATAAAACTATAGTGGACACCGTAATGTGATATACCAAAGCAAAGAACATGGTAAAGAATGTACGATAGGCATTACTTTGTTTTTGTTTGAAGTACTCTGCCTCAGGTTCCTTTTTTGAGGGGGAAAATGGAATAAAATATATATTTTTTTTCATTCAAATAGCAGGAATATCCCATCTGCTATTACATGCATGTTAAACATATTCATGTTGAAATTTCATTTTGATTAGGACGACAGAATAAAGAAGGGAGAAAATCCCAGCATCATGCAGAAAACATAACTTTGAGACTACAAACCTGTTCCTGATAGGCTGGCTCCATCCAGCCTAAACCCAGCTTTACCGGCTGCTGCAACCACAACTTGTGCAAAACTGCCGCTGGTAAAGATGGAGTCATCTGAGGAGCTACCTACACCAGATCTATGACTAGAAAAGTTACGGTCCTCATCAGACACAGAACCCCATCCATTTAAGAGTGAACCTAAAAACAAATGTAGGGGGCTAGTGAGTTGTACAGATTAAATAGCTCTACTGTTTGACAGCTCAAAGGGCTATTAAAAAATCTTTGTCCCGTCACCGCCCCAACTCTTCTTCATGAATTTGGAATTCATAGAACTGGGAAACCAAGTCAGAAATTGTTTGACGTTTCTTTTATTACTATGGACCTTAATCAATAGAGTCTTCAGAGTTCAACTCCATATTTTATAAATGTTAATGAAACTGAAATTTTGAATCATAGAATTAAGAAAGAATGAATTCATTACACATTTACCTGCCGTCCTATACTTAATATTTTTAACTGGTTCCATAATTTATTAATATTAGTATGTCACCTGAATAAAGTTTTTGTAAATTTAGGAAAAAGGCAATGACACAAGTTGATTTTATGCTGATATACCTATTCATTTAAAAAGAATCTTCTTCTATGCCATATTTTATTATAAATTATTACAAAGGTATAATCTACCAGACATAAACCCAGCCGCAGGGGAGTCCCAATGGTGCTCCAGGCCTGGCTGTGGCAAGTGGGAGTGGAGTTACTGCTACCAAGGTGGCAATCATTCGGGGAGGGGTATGAGGGAGTTGCTGCCAATGTATATATATAAATAAATAAAAAAAGTTTTAATGGGTATCATACAATAATTAATATTTCATTAAAATACCAGCTTCATGTATTTAAGGGCTAGAAACTGTGAGTAAATTGGGAATAATACAACACAAAACACAAGTAGCGGGCTATACTGCACTGCATGTGCCCTCAGACACACAGAGAAGTGAATGAACAAGGAAGAATATTTGGCGAGCATTAGCCTGTCGTTTGAAAATACTCAAACAGTGGAAAAAGCTGAACCTGATGAAATTTTCCACATAAATACTAATGGTTAAAGAAGGTCCTACTGCAGGCCACCAGTCTAAAAAGCTATAATTTACAGTCATACTGTTGCCTTGCCACAATTTTTACAAATGTTGTATTTGGTATCAGAGTCACACTGAAATTGCAAACTTAACATTCCAAAACAAGAATGTAAACTTATCATTCCAAAACAAGTTAGCCCACTCCATGCTACGAGGCAGGAAATACTCTGCCAATCATCAAGATTTCCCCCAAAAAACAGTGAATATACTTTGCAACATTTGAGTGAGCAAATCTTTCAACATCAGTACAGTGCAGGCTGTAATAATACAAGTTTGTGTAGTCCTAATATATAAGAAGAGAAACTGAAGGGGGATACAGAGATCTGACAGACAGAAAGTGGGTTAAGTGAACAGAGTGGCAATTTGATTCTGCTTGCCAAAGGCATAAATAAAATTGTTGCTTTCCAAATGGACCTGACACAGTAGGGAAGCCAAGATAACAGCAAAGGCAAAAAACACCTCTTTCAAAAGGCCAGCTTTTAAAGCTAAAAACCAGGGTATGTAAGAGAAGCTTAGTTGTTTGGATTACTGTGAAATAAAAATAAATAAAACAGATAACTCCATAATGGTGCCAAACTGCAATGTCCTGGCATGGCCAATTAAACCAAACTTTGGTTTATATCCAAGAAAGGTGAACACATGCATCACTTTGAGAAAGCAGTTCTAGGAATTTCAATGAGTCAACATGCATGTTTAACATTTAAACACAGGTATAGATTCTAAATGGTTAAAACTATTTATTAAAAAAAAGAGTCCAGCATGCATAGGGGAGAATTATTTGAATTCTGATACATTTTGTTGAAGAGACTTCCAGTTAAAGAAAACAAAGTTGTGCCCTACAGAAGCATGTCCCTTCTTTGAACCACATCCTATGCATATATCAATATATTGGACATCGATACTGCATTTTCCCATCTAATTTGTTAGCGATTGTACAGCTGGGTGAATGCTGGTTTGTTACCCTTTAGCATAGAAGATATAGTCAGAAGTATATTGAGGGATATACTGCTTTATGAATATGCTGTTTGTTTTGCATAAATTGCTTGCAGGTAATCAAAAATGATGTGAAGGAATCTATGATAAAATCCTGTGCATTGGAAAATAGAGTTAAACCAGTTCCATTTCATACTGGATGTAATTGTGGCTGCCTTAGGACTGAAACCTCCTTGGTGCTACTCAGCCAGTTCCTACAGCTGGATTCCTGCAAGGAATTAGCATGTTGTATGGTTAATGTTCTGAGGTGATCTAGAAGCTAGGTGACTGGGGGGAGGATGGTGCTATGACCTCCCTCCCCCTTTTTATGAAGAGAAAGCCCGCTCCCCCAAGCCTAGAAACTAAAAGTGCTCTGCTCTCACATTAGCCAGATCATACAAGAAGGATTCGCCCTGTTTCCTTTCAAAGGATTCGCAGGCCCAAGGACCCCAGTGTGAGAAACACTCTGGTAGAACTAAGAGTATTGGCATTTTTCTGCAATCTGCTGTGACTTTTTCAAAGAGGGTAAAAGAGCCTTGAAGAAGAAGGAGGAGGAACAGAGATTGGATTTATACCCTGCCCTTCACTGGAAGTCTCAGAGCATTTTACAAACTCTTTCCCCTTCCCCTCCCCACAACATACACCCTGTGAGGTATGTGGGGGCTGAGAGAGCTTGTCAGAACTATGGCTTGCCCAAGGTCATCCAGCAGCTGCAAGTGGAGGAGTGGGGAATCAAACCCAGTTCTCCCAGATTAGAGTCCGCGCACTTAACCACTACACCAAACAGGTGCCTTTCCCATACAATTCAGCTCACTTTGTTTTCCAGGAGCTTGTTTGGATTTCCATGCTTTCTGCCAGACCAGCTGTAATTTTTCCCCTGCTGAAAGCAGTAGTAAGCACTTTACATTAGGCAATTTTACTATTTATTTTATGATAATCTAGGTTAATTTAAGTTCTCCAAAGCTAATTGTTAAAGCTGCGGATATCTAAACATGCAAATTAGGCCCACACTGAAAGGAGATTTTTGTCCAAACTTGGAGGACCCCCCCGAGGTTGGAAGAAAAATCTGAAATTGTTAAAAAAATTACATTGTGGGGTTTAAATCCACCCCGCTCTTGGCCCGGTTGCAGTGGCAGCAACCAGGAGCCACCCCAGGCCCAGCAGCAGTGGAAGATGGAGCCTAAGAGCTTCTCTGGGCCCAGCCGCAGGGGAGTCCCAATGGTGCTCCAGGCCTGGCTGTGGCAAGTGGGAGTGGAGTTACTGCTACCAAGGTGGCAATCATTCGGGGAGGGGTATGAGGGAGTTGCTGCCAATGTCACCAAGGCAGCAAAGCCGAAGCAGTGAAGAGTCTGTGCTAGTTGCCAGCTGAGGTAGCGAATCTGCTGGGCTAGGTGAGGTGCTGCAACTGTAAAGGCAGCATACCTGTTGAGGGGCTCAGTAAGCCACAGCATCAGCAAAGAGGCTTGGATGAGCCACTGCTGCCAATGAAAAAAGGGAGAGTGATGGGGTGGGGGAGGAAGAGTGATTGGATGAGGGAGGCAAAAAGAGATAAGGAGTGACAGTAGATAGGGAGAGAGAGAGAGAGATTGACACAGAGAGAGAGACAGACAGACAGTAAGGAGGGGGATAGACACTGAGAGAAATCAAAGGTAGGTGGAATGGGATTGCTGCTTCCACAAGTTGCTTGTGGGTCCCCACTTACTGTTTTCTTAAGTTCACATCTGGATTTTACAGCTGACTATAGAAGGCAGCCCTGTGCTCTTTACTCTTCATTATTGTTCTGGAACAAGTCCCAATTTGCAGTGGCAACAGGAGTGAGTAGGCATTATATGCCCCCCTCTACCTCTGTTTCACAGTTCCTAGAACCGTGTTCAGAAGACATCCCTACATTCACTGAATTCAAGGAAATGCTGGCCCAATGCTTGACTTCTGTTCAGCTGACCATATGAATGAGCTCATATATCTGTCTGACGTCTGCTCTGGGCAGGGGTGGCAGCTGCAATCCCTATTCACATATACCATAAATGTTCTTCTAAACAGGGCCAGTGTCAATGTCCTCTAACTGTATCACTCTAACATCCTCCATACAATATCTCTTAGTTGGACCTTAAAGTCATAACGTGACAGTACCATCTACAGAAGGAGGGGGGGGATCTGTTGTTTTTTATTTCTCTCTGACCCAAGGATGTTTTAATGCATTTCTTCTTTTAAGTAAGAGGTCAGTTTCTTCAATCAGATTATAATGAAAAGAGATTAATATTTATATTAAACATAATACATATAGATAAAATTGCATTGTGAGTCTGGCAAATTTCATTTAGAAGAAAGAAGGTGGCTCATGGCTTAAGTGTGTGCTCTGGAAAGAGGGACCTGCTAGATTTTGTCTCTCATAAAAATGGTAATGCAACAATTAGCAGGGTCATATTATAAAGCACAGATTTTACTCTAGCTTAATGGATCTAGGGATACGCATTCATCAGCAGGATGGATTTAGCATAAGACGACATGTAAATGAATTGATGACTGATCATAAATTAATTTTAGTGCTGAAGATGTAATGGAGGCACAGCAAGATGCCACTTTATCATAGTATTTTACTGCTCAGCAACATTTGAACAACTACTTAATGTTCTATGTGCATGCTAACAGCTTGAATAAATTTGAGAAAATTTTGTGCCTTTCAGCAAACGCGGGTGGGTGCGGGGCAGATTACATGAAAAGATTGAGATTTGAAACAGAAATAAATTTGGCTAAGTGGCATAAATTCATTTTTCATTCAAGTTTATAAATACTTTGATGAAGTTTGCACCTATAAAATGTGTCAAAGGTTTATGTATTACTTACATTAGTTTACAACAGCTGGCCTGACAAGCAAAACAAGTATGTAAACATATAGATTCCATCCACAGTTATGTTCCATAATTTTAATTGGAATGTTGTTATTGACATATGCTATACAGTTAGATGTATGATATACAGTTAGGTCTATTTACCCTATATTATCGAAGTGTTTTGCATTATTTTATTTCTCTTCTACACATTTTTCAGAGTTATCACATTTTATAACCATATTTTCTTCCTGAATAAGGGACAGTGTTGGTTATATTCCCATGAACAGAGGTCATTTCGGGGGGGAACGCGGGGGAACGCAGTTCCCCCGGGTGAG